CTGGATATTGATATCCTTAACATGTTTGAAGGATGCTCTTAAGACCAATTGGCTAATTATCTATAATTTGGATGGCCACAACTTTTTAGTACAGTTCACTAGTGTCACTCTTTCAGCAGTAAGGGACACGGTGTGTAATTTATGGGCCAAATCCAAGATTGATACAGCTTATTGGGTCTCTATTGGGCCATCGTTATGTCTCTCCACAACAATGATTGCGTTCGAATAAGGCTTAACTGGACTTGAAACTCTTAGGCTCCCAGGTTAAGAATTGCGGAAATGACGCCCTCCAAAAATTTTATTAGCTCATGTTATCCTCATTGACCCGAAATAGTAAAGAAATTCAAAAATAACCAGATTTACAAGTGGTAATTGACAAATAGCCACAGTTTCAAAAGTAATCGAAATTTAGTCACTTTTTATGTAAAGATAAATCTGAACGAAAACACTGTTCAAAATCCAGAAAATACTCTAACATAATATACTGGAGTTCCAATATAATATACTGGAACTCCAGCATATTATACGGGAGTTCCAGTATACTATACCGGTTCAGCATAATATGCTGGAAGTTCATACACATGTGCTCAAATCTCCAGTATATTATGCTGGAACTTTCCGCGTGTTGGAGTTCCAGCATAATACGCTGGAAGTTCATACACAGGTGCACCAATCTCCAGTATATTATGATGGACCGGTCCGTGTTGCAGCAAAATAGTGGCTATTTTTTAATGACTTTGCAAACGCTAACTATTTTTTAATTACCAGTCCGAAAACTAGTTAGCCCGAAATAGCCTTTAGGCCCAATTTATTGACAAGTTGTAGCCACTTTTCTCAATACATAGATTTTTCTCCTCTTGGACCCCTGATTTTTCTCTACCCAAGGTATAGTTCCCTTCCCAATGTAATTTTTTTTTTCTTTCTACATCTCTCAAGGTATAGTTCCCTTCCCCAGAACTTTTTCTTTTCCCCACACATTTTACTTTTCTCTCTCTTTCATTTGTATTTATATTTTATTTATTTATTTAGTTATTTAGTAGTTAGCAAGTGGGTTTTACAAAGACACTTGTATAAACCTGGACATGCATTTTTTCACTAGCACAATTCATTTAACATCCTCCCATTTCCTTATATTCATTTCTTTTCTTATTGATTCATTTTGTAATTTTGAGCTATTACTTTAAAAAATGGAGAAACACAATAATTTTGCTTCTTATTATTATGTACAAATGTTTGCTTCTTCGTCTTATTTTTGTTTATGTGATTGCTTGTTCTTTATCATCTTCTTTTTCGGGTTCTAATGATGTTTTATAAGTACATGTCTTTTGAAGTAGGTATTGGTGGTAGTTAAAATTTTAACGGTGTTCGGAAGATACAATGTAATTTCATATAAAAGTTTTATATACACTGCGTATAAAAATTATATATGCACCGTTATATATATATATATATAATTACATTCTGTTTAATAATATTATTATAAAAATTGTATATAGATTGTTTTACAATGTATAAAAATTATATATACACTATTACATTGTATAAATTTTGTATATAAAGTATATCCTCTATATTTTAGTGTATCCCTAATGTATCGTTAGTGTATATTCGTGGCTCTGACTTCTTTGCAGCGACCTTACAAATTTATGTATAATGTATATATGTTATATAATAGGTGTATATGCACGATTATATAATTTCTAAACATAATTTATACAATGTAAATGTTGTTGGTCGTTTAATGGTGTTTTACTGGCCATTTTGGAGTGAACTCCATAAGTCTTTTGGGTTGAATTTTTGTGCATTTGTTATGAAAAAGTGAAGGGTGAAGTGTATTTGTGCAGGTAGTTATTGCTGCTATGGATTCTAAAGGTCTTTGTATATGAGATGTATAATTAGTGTATCTCATATACAATAAATTCATATTTAGTGTATCTTTTGTATAATTTGTGTATCTGTATACATTTTGAGTTTTTATAAAGTATACACTAACTATATATATATATATATATATATATATATATACAAATTATATATATAATTTATACATGATTGATACATATTGTGCAAATGTATAAAAATTGTATATAACCCATTATATGTGTATAGAAGATGTATATTTATAGTTATACAGTATTTTAAAAGTTTTATATATAGTATTTTCTGAGTTTGACAATGTAATCTTAGTGTATTCCGAGCGTGTTGTATATTTTAAGTGTATAAAAAATATATATATTGTTCAACAATGTATAAAAAAGAGTCTATATACTCTATACTAGTGTATAATATGTATAGTACGTGTACAATCTATACATCATCTTCTTCCTCTTCTTGTTATATCATGGGTGTTTTTGCTAATGCAGTATTATATTTTTCTAGATTGGATCACTAAAAATATAATTTTTTTTTGTAAAAGATAAAAAGGGGATTGTAATTTGTGTATAATAGGAAGAAGTTTGGTGGTTATGGAGAAGACAGTTGGGTTTCTCTTTTTTGATGAATTTTTTTTTTGTTTTTCTCTTTTGAAAAATATTTTATTTTTTTGAATTCATCAGCTCTTTGGACTTTTGACCGAATTGTTCTGTTTGTGTAATTGAAAAAAACTTATTTGATTGAAATAGTTTTATACTTTACATTGCTTTGGCCTAAAGATATATTTTTTATTACTGTAAATGAGATTTCTAAGATCAAAAATCACTTGAAATACTTGACATGAGTATAGAATGTGACTAGTGAGATTTTTATTTCACTGGCTAGCTATTATAATTAGTTTTTAGGTTCAACTTGCATAATAGATTTGTGGGCTAGAAATTGTCAAAAGTTTTAGCCGAACGGCTAAAAGTGAAATTGCCTCTTAAGAATTTTACCACGGGTAAAATACAAAATTGATTGGTCGGTCGAAACTAATTGCATTCGCTAGTCAAAAAATATAATATATATATATATATACAAAAATATATTTTATCGGTTATTATTTTCGGGACCAGCTAAATATACACATTTCTCTTTTACCATTACTGTTGCTTATCTTGTTGAATCTCACCAGATGAAATAAGAAGAAGAATTAGCCACTTCATCTTTGGGGAGTTTCTTATAGTTTAACAAAAGGGTTGTTGCTCTTATTTTCAGGTCACCTCAACTTTCGTCGGAAGCAATATCCTTTTTTAAAAAAAATTTATATTGAAAGATCATCACTGCCAATATCCTTGGTTTCAATATTAATTATTAACCGTATATAGCTAAGTAGCATCTTGAGCCTTTGTTTAATGAGTTTCAGTTTTATGTAATGATAGTGAAAATTTTGTTTACATAATGATGTTATTAAAAATCAATTACATATAACTCTAATTAATATCGCTAATCGGCAACCTAGAGTAAATTGTAAGTTACTCGTTATAACATATCAAGTTACACTAGTAGTACAACTTAAATCTTTACTTAATTTTCGGAAATATATATGGATGGTTGATCTAATAATATTGTGAAATAATATGTATCATTCAAAACGTAAAACAACTTTTATGTAACTGATACCCTAAAATGGTGTCACAAGGTACATGGTTATGGCGTACAACAAGAATATTTGAATAAAACTAAACTTTTAAACTGAGAGAATATAAAAGACCAACTCGTAAACAAAAACTATATATGTCACGCCTTTTGACCTATAAAAACATGATGAAAAAGATCCAATACTCCAACCAACATTTCACAATCATCATGTCACCAACATAAATCATTAGAAAAATATTATCAAATGAGATCCGTTCCATAGAAACTAACGATTATCAACGTCCATCAGACGACAACATTCAGGAATTCTCACAATACAGAGACAGCACAAAGACAAAAAAGAATCTGCCATACAAAACAAAAGCCTAAGAAATGACCTTCGCAATGACGAAGAATCCAAGAAAACAGCTAAACTACAAAGGGGAAACAACATACTTTCCTATTTTGACTAAAATGGATGAAGACAATGTTCTGCTTGGATTATCATAGAAAACGAAAAAACAGCAATAATGCGTTTAAAAGGATTTCGATATCTAAAGACAAACCAACTAGTCGGTATTAAAGTTTTGTCGTTGTTGATACACTTACATTAGAGATTGTATGTTAGTATAAGGATATGTATTAGATACTGTTGTTATTGTTATTATTTTACTTGCACTTAGTTTTAAGTTGTATGCGTCTTAGACAAGTTAATGGCACAACCGGAAAAGTCACGATTTCAATAAGTATCATTTTTTAGGATTATTAAGGTAACAATTGTAAAAGAAAATTAAGCGGCTGTAAGTGTTAAAACATTGGAAGTGTCGAACAACTTTTTTGTTTTCTCCTTTGTGTTTTATTGTTGTCAAGAATTATTATATAAATTCTATAATTAGTATCCAGGATAGCACTAGACTGGCTAATGGACACTCAGGTTAACATGAAATCATCGTTTCTTTTGTCTCAACTCAAAATTTAGCTTGTTGACACTTGACAGATAAAACGAAAACAAAGCAAAAGACAAAAGATTCATACATTATATATACTGAATACAACAGCTTCTATTTTGTGTGTCGAGGCATCAAGCAAAAATAGAAGAGTACTGAGCTTTTCTTATTCATATCTATTTGGAAGTTGAAACAGAAATGGATTTGAATACAAGTATTAAATCTGAGATTGCGAGCCCTGGAAAAAGAAGCATATCCATGGTGGATTATGACATTCCAGAGACGACGAAACGTGTGAAAAGACGGAGAAGGTCTCCCCCTACAATTGAACTGAATGAGAACATTGGCCAACAAGGTGAAAAGCAGAAGATGGACTCATCTAAAGTTGATCAAAATATTGCCCATACACCTACTGTGAAGAGAAGTTCAAGATTCAGAGGAGTTAGCAAGTAGTACTAAATTAAAAATGTTGAGGACATTTTCTGGTCCCTTTTCCCCCTTTTGAGTTATATAGGTTTAAGAAACTAATTCTTGATTACCTTGGATTTTAGGCATCGATGGACGGGGCGTTATGAGGCTCATTTGTGGGACAAGAGTTCTTGGAATGTAACTCAGAAAAAGAAAGGAAAACAAGTATATCTTGGTGAGTACTGCACTTGGTGCTATAGATCAATATTTGATTCAAGAATTGAATTTTGGGTGATAAAAAAATTTACTTGTATGTTATGTTTTAAATTGTGCAGGAGCATATGATGAAGAAGAATCTGCAGCAAGAGCATATGATTTGGCTGCAATCAAGTACTGGGGTACATCAACTTTCACTAATTTTCCGGTATGATCACCTCAGCTGACTCAAAACTTGTGTATACTTGCTATTTTCATAGTCCTTTTGCTTTTAATTCTTTCTATTTGATTGAAAATTCTGTCTTAAACTCTTTCCTACAGATATCTGATTATGAGAAAGAAATTGAAATAATGCAAACTGTGACTAAGGAGGAGTACTTAGCCTCTTTAAGAAGGTATTTGTTCAACTTGATTTTCAATCAGATAAAGACAATCTTTTCATCAAAAACACAAAACTTACCGTAGTTTTTTGCTGTTCTAATGCAGGAGAAGCAGTGGTTTCGCCCGGGGTGTATCTAAATACAGAGGAGTAGCAAGGTAAATAAATTCATTTCACCTTGATAATCAAGGCCACTGTTCTAAAACTTTACTATATGTTGATCATAATTAGTAACAAAAGATTTTGCATTGATACAACTTGCAGGCATCATCACAATGGCAGATGGGAAGCAAGAATAGGTAGAGTTTTCGGTAACAAATACCTCTACTTAGGTACTTACAGTAAGTACTTTCACCCCATAATTTTGAGAACTGATCAAATCAAGACTGTTAAAACAGGCTGCCAACTCGAATCTTGTGTTTGTTTTTGTAGGCACTCAAGAGGAAGCAGCTCGAGCTTATGACATTGCTGCAATTGAATACAGAGGGATTAATGCTGTGACTAACTTCGACTTAAGCACCTATATTAGATGGCTAAAACCAGGTGCCAATTCTCAGATGTCATTCCAAGACATAAGATCAGAAAATCAGGCTATACAAATGAACACTAACGATATGATTAACCCGATAAATGATCCTAAATTCCCCTTCAGCTCCAATTATTTTACCACAACTAGAGAAACTCTGCCGCCTATTCCTCAGAGCCAAGAACCTATTGAAAGAAAAATGCCCTTAAGTCCGTGCAACAAGTCGTCTTCCCCTACAGCTCTCAGCCTTCTGCTTCGCTCCTCCATGTATCGTGAGCTTGTGGAGAAGAATTCTACCACTACTGCTAGTGAAAAGGAAGGGCCAAACATGAAGAATAAAATACAAACAAACACAGAAGATGAGTTTGTGTTTTACACAAGTGATAAGTTGCCTCCATTGGAGTCTTTGGAGAAGGGTACTTCTTCTCGTCTGTGTGATAGAGCAGGGCAGTCCTTTTGGAATGCGATGCCTTAAATTACTTAACAGTTTAACAATTTGCAGTGAAGAATAACTGAAACTTGGTAGTCATCTAGGAATAGATGAGAAGTAGTTTCATCATATGAGATAGGACTGTACATAAAATGAACAGAGAGTGAAAATCTCTCTTTTTGCAAAGAAATCAGATCTATCAAATGCTTTTGGACTTGAGAGATACAAAGTTGCAATTTCAAAGAATGGATTACGAGTATTGGCCTGCATTCAACAATAATTGAGTTTTAATTATATGCACTAATGGTGTAAAAGATATTTGCACAACTAAGTAACTTAAAAGGCAATTTTACGTGATCTCCCATAATTAACATTTATTGATAACCTTGAATATTGTATTGCGATCGGGAAGCTATTTGCAGGTTTCAAACTATTGGTAGCACTGCTTGAAATATCATTGTTCAACAACTCTCATTCTATTCGTAGACTTTATTGCTGAATCGTGATTCATGAATAACATAGAAAAAGATACCCCACTACACAACTAAAGAGGAACCATCGACCTCTAATAATTATCAAGATACAGGCTAATGACAGGGGCCTATTCCCTTTTCTATCTAAAGACAACAGACATTCCTAAAGAAACTACAAACACAAAATAGAGCTTGTTGTCTGTATGTTTTCACTACTAGAAGGCTGAAGGTATCTAGGATTTTCAGATCATAGTAAACATATGAATAGAGAAAAATTTATGTGACACGAGCTGTTCAAGTGGGAAAGAGTTCAAACAGCTAGCAGCAGGCTTAGCCTGGCTGTATCATGCCTTCTTCTTTTTGGACTTGAGCATTACATATCCAATAAACATGCTCAGCAAGCAGATGAGTGCCATTCCAGCAAATACAGGAATAAGAATCGCATACTCTTGAGGTAGAAAATAGTTGTGCACAAAATGATCAGTATCAACCAATGGCTGAAAGAGAAAAAGCATATATCAACCCCATATAATAACGTAGGTCGCAAAAAGTCACTACATCAGGGCAAGATAGAAGAACTGACCAGAATGATGACCCAGAAGGTATAATATGTGAAAATAAACAAACTAGTTACTGTCAAAAGCAGCCCAATCGTTCTGTCTGCTAATTCCATCGTGACTCTTTTGCTTGTGCAGACTCTAAATGTGGAATGCCAAATTAAATTACAAAGAAAAACACGGAGGCAAAACAAAATCACTGCCCTAGGCAGAAGTATGTAAATGAATTCCAAAGAAATGAAAGCAGGAAAAGCAAACAGAGAGAAGGGGGAGGGAATGCACATGGAACACTCAAGATGTGACATTACACGACCAAACGTTATGCATCATTCAAGACAATACAGATGACATACATTCTTTCTCAAGAACAGAACTGTAAGACCAACTCAGTAGCTGAAAAGTTGAATATCCCTCTGATGTACCAAAGAATACAATGATTGCTGATGAAAAAGCACTACTAATCCACTATATGTTTAGCTACCTTATAATTTCCAACTATTTACCTGGTTTTATTGCACCAATGCACAATATATGACTTAATTACCCTTGGTATCTATACAATCATATATTTCCAAGAAAACTGCCAAAACCACATAGCAGTCCTCTATCCAGACCACACAAAAATTTTAACAACAAAGAGGAGAGGAGTGACGTTTCAATAACAAAATGTTCCCAATAAAAACAAATCTGGAAAGAAACATACCAGCTCCAGGAGAAAAAGGGATAGAACTGAAGAAACCCGAAAATATTAGACCTAGTTTATATTTCTCAGAATGTAATGGTTTGTCTACCAAGGTGCACATCTATGCTTTTATAGTGCTGGTAGCCTAAAGCATGATGGTGCTACCTCTTAATATCTGTGAGAGTATAAGGTGTATTTACATCAGCATATCATGCTAATAGGTATGTGTTTCCTTCTGGTACCATCACCGTATATTTTGCAAACAAATATTTGACCCAAACACGTGAATCTTGTTTCAATAATCTCCAAAGTCGCACATACACATCCAAATGTGTGACCTAGTGGTCAATGAAGTGGCTCGGACACCACGGTTATAAAAAGAATCGCACATACAGTAGTTTCATTTGAAGCAACACTTAAGGAGATTAGGGAGCACTTAAAGAGATTGACAGTCTACTCTATGATCCTCTATGCTAGCTACACAAATAAGGAGGAAATTATCGGATATTAAAGCTAAAATAATTACATAAACGCTGGACATCAGCATACAGCTGTAAAATAAATTCAGATTGCACTTACCTACGCGATTAGCCTGAAAACTGAGAAACAAACAACGTAAATGCTACAAATTAATCAGAAAATTCAAAGGCGCAAATATATGCATTGAAGAGGTTTTCGCTGATAGGCAAAAAACATTATACACACAAACATCGATTATCCCCATAAACGAACTTCAATTCCTTAATTTTCACGGTAAGTTCCAATATTTCACATTTAAGGGAGAAATTACCTTGAATTTTTTATTATTTGGCGTTAAATACTTTCGTTTCAGAGCACGAAGATCGTTATCATCTTCCAAATCGACATTGATTCCTTTGTGCTTCCATTAGTTTCATTAGTTCTCTCTTGAGAGCTTCAGAGAGGAGAATCCTGAATAAATGGGCCATCAGCTTTTTCTCATATGGGCCAAAATGAAAGATGGGGGGTGACCGACAGAAATGGGCCCCGTAAGGGCTGGTGTTCTTAGCCGAATGATCCAAATTGGCGGTATTTAAAAAATGGCCCCTTGAGCCGTACTTAGTGTGTTTACCGAATTGGTAGAGTTTATGCTATATTTAAAAGTGTTAGCCGAATGATCTAAATTGGTGGTATTTAAAAAATGGCTCCTTGACCCGTACTCGGTGTGTTTACTGGGATTGTTTATCAAAGTCTATCAGGTTGACATGATTTTGCTTTTCAGTAATTTCTCTACCGGATTAATATAATTTATACTATATTTACTCTATCTATTTATTAAGTTTTTCATCGAAGTCTACTCGATTGGCATAATTTTTGTGTGTTGTTTCAACAAAATATTCTTTGAATTCACAACTTCAATTTCGATCAAAACACTCCAAATCTGTTCCAAATGATCTCAAATTTAAAATAAACCTTCTAAATACCAACACAAAAAATTCTCAATCACCAATTTAGCCAAGTAACACCAAATCAAAAAAGATCCACTTTATCTTCTACAACACTTTTGTATACGGTCGAAATAGATTTCGACCTTCATACGTTCGATCGAGTTCGAATGGTAAGCAACCGGAGTGGGATTTTGGGACGAGTTCCGAAGACAGTACAAACGAACCTCGAGTCCGAAGGCTGATCGAGGAGTCGGCTCGATACTATTATCGAGCCCATAACCAAATCGATCTGCATGGCAACATAAGGATGGTCGGAAATGCGCTACACCCACCCCGAAGGTCGAACTCAAGCCAAAGCTGAGGGCTCGACCCAATAACGAGTTCGAGCCAGTATCGAGCTCGCAGACAAGAGCCGTTACAACCGCACTAAGGGAGAGAATCTTGGCGGGAATCGAAAAAGAGATAATTCATCATGGGACCTCCACTATATGTTTTATTTTATTATAAATAAAGTAGGATCCCTCTACTATAAAAGGATGAATCCTTGTAAGCATAGAGGCAGCTCAGACATTGTAACAAAAAGATCACTTCTCATATTGAAAGATATCACCTTGTGCTTGTTTTACTTTTATCTTATTCATTCTTTTTGCTCACTATTCTTATAGTCAAGAATATACATATTTCTATTTCTCCATACGATTTATATCAAATTGTAACGCATAACGTTATCTGATTTTTCGGATAAACAGTTTGGTGCCCACCGTGGGGCTAAGGATAACAATGGTTATTTGATACGAATCTAAAAAAACATGCCATTGTGTTTTGCGCTTGTCTCCAAAAATATCTTAAATTTCGGATTAGCTATGACTAACCATCAATCAAATGGCTTCACCAATCGACAACGGGGCCGATCTTCAAGACGAAAATAACAACTTGACACCCGGTATTGAAAACCACTTATAAACGCCGTTGGAGCTCGAATCGGAGCGCCAATAGACATCAATTCGCATATAGCCATTGAGGCGAACCTACATGCTGAACCCGAGAATATCATCCATGGTGGCACTCGGTCTGCGGCTCGAGATACCCACAACGTCGAGGAAAATGGCATTAGCTTGCATGTGATTTTCGAAATGTTGCAAGCCCAATAGGCAGCAATAGCTCAGTTGCAAAGCCAAACCCAGCTACAAAGTAGGCCGGAGCCCAATCCGCCTTAAGAAATCACCCGCAGAACGGAGCCAGCCATAGTGAAATCAAATGAGCAAGAATCGGGGACTACTCCCGAAATTACTAAATTGCTCGAGAAACTCACAAAGCGAGTCAAAGCCAATGATAAAAAAGTAAAAACTTATAACTCTAGGGTCGATCAGATCCCGGGAGTTCCACCAATGATAAAAGGGTTGGATTCGAAAAAAATTGTGCAAAAACCTTTTCCCTCGAGCGCAGCCCCAAAACCAATACCCAAAAAATTCCGTATGCCCGAAATTCCCAAATATAACGGAACGACCGATCCCAACGAGCACGTCACTTCTTACACATGCGCCATCAAGGGCAATGATTTAGAAGACGATGAAATCAAATCTGTGCTGTTAAAAAAATTCGGAGAGACCCTCTCGTAAGGGGCAATGATTTGGCGTCACAACCTACCACCAAATTACATGGACTCATTCGCCATGTTAGCAGATTCTTTTGTGAAAGCACATGTCGGCGCCATAAAAGTCACAACAAGGAAATCGGACCTCTTCAAGGTAAGGCAAAAGGATAACGAGATGCTGGGGGAGTTCATATCTCATTTTCAAATGGAACGAATGGACTTACCACCAGTCACAGACGATTGGGCTGTTCAAGCTTTCACTCAAGGTTTGAACGAACGAAGTTCGACGGTCTCACGGTGATTAAAGCATAACCTGATCGAATACCCAGCCATTACGTAGGCCGACGTGCACAATCGGTATCAATCAAAAATTAAGGTCGAAGATGATCAATTGGGGCCTGAAAATGTTGTTCGAAGGGATACTAATCGAGAACGAGGTCCGATCGGGGATCGATACCAACCGTACAACGGAAGCCACAGAGTCAGTGAATCGAGACATAACCTTAGGCAAAATAACAAAAGAAATGATCGAGGTTAAGGGTCCCGGGGGCTGATGAACAGAAGTAGGTTCGATAGGCCTGCCGAATCTAAGGAAGTACCTCAGTTATCGGAGTATAACTTCAGCATTGATGCATCCGCCATCGTATCGGCTATCGGATGCATAAAAGACACTAATTGGCCTCGACCCATGCAGACAGATCCTGCCCAAAGGAATCCCAACCAAAGGTGTGAATATCATGGCACCCATGGCCACAAGACGAAAGATTGCAGGCAACTAAGAGAGGAAGTAGCCCGGTTATTCAACAAAGGGCACCTTCGAGAATTTTTGAGCGATAGGGCGAAGAACCATTTTGAAAATAGGGATCTCGTCAAGCACATCGGATAAGAAGAACCACAACATCATTCACATGATCATCGGTAGAGCCGATACCCCTCAGGGACCAGTGCTTGAACGCACTAAGACATCAATTGTGAGAGAAAAGTGATCTCGAACTCAAGATTACACACCCATAGGAACGTTGTCCTTCAATGATGAAGATGCAGAAGGAGTCATACAACCTCATAACGATGCACTGGTAATATCCGTACTCAAGAATAAAACTAAAATTAAGCGTGTGTTGATTGATCCAGGTAGCTCGGCCAACATCATCAGATTGAGGGTCGTAAAACAGCTCGGCCTGCAGGACCAGATCATACCCGCAACCTTGGTTATAAACGGATTCAATATGGCATGTGAAACCACCAAAGGCGAGATAAATCTACCAATAAACGTGGCCGGGACCATCCAAAAAATGAAGTTTCATGTAATCGAAGGCGACATGAGATACAACACCCTTTTCGGAAGGCCATGGATCCACAACATGAGAGTTGTACCTTCGACCCTACACCAGGTCCTCAAATTCCCAACATCGAGAGGAGTCAAAATGGTGTACGGAGAACAACCAACCGTGAGAGAAATGTTCGCCGTCGAGGAAGTGAAACCAATATCCTCATCTTCGCCAGCAAAGGGATCAGGCTCAGAAGGGGAACGAGATACCAAATAGCAATCACAGACATCGGCTTTGACCCAACCAGATAACCAGAAGATCGAAGAGGATGATGATTAGAGGATCCATCGATCCTTCATGATTCCCGATGACTCCGACACCACCAAATCAATGATTGAGGAACTGGAGCAAGTCATACTAATCGAACACTGGCCAGAACGGAAGGTATACCTGGGAACGAGGTTGAACCCCGAACTCAGGAAGAAACTTATTCAATTTCTTATCGATAACATTGATTGCTTTGCCTGGTCCCATTTAGATATAACAAGGATCCCACCGGACATAACGACGCATCGGCTAAGCTTGGACCCTAGGTTCAGACCGGTAAAGCAAAAGAGAAGACCCCAGTCCGAGATAAAGCACGTATTCTTAAAGAACGAGGTAACCAAACTCCTCAAGATAGGATCCATTCGGGAGGTGAAATATCCTGAATGGCTAGATAATGTAGTTGTAGTGCCTAAAAAGGGAACAAACTTAGAATGTGTGTGGACTATAAGGATTTGAACAAAGCATGCCCCAAAGATTCTTTTTCGTTGCCCAACATCAATCGCATGATCGATGCCATGGCCGGCCACGAGATCCTCACTTTTCTCGATGCCTACTCCGGGTATAATCAAATCCAGATGATCCCGGAAGACCAGGAAAAAACTTCATTTATCACCAAACATGGAACATATTGTTATAATGTGATGCCCTTCGGGTAAAAAATGCAGGGGCTACTTACCACCGCCTAGTGAATAAAATGTTTGAAGAACAAATAGGTAAATCAATGGAAGTTTATATTGATGATATGCTAGTTAAGTCCCTGCGCGCAGAGGACCATTTGACCCATTTGCAGGAAACGTTCGAGATTTTGAGGAAATACAACATGAAGCTCAACCCCGAAAAATGTGCTTTCGGGGTCGGTTCGGGCAAGTTCCTCAGCTTCATGGTGCCAAATCGGGGAATCGAGATTAACCCCAATAAAATTAAGGTCATCGAAGACATCACCATCATGGACAGCGTAAAAGTTGTACAAAGGCTAACGGGACGAATTGCGGCCTTAGGCCGATTCATTTCGAGATCATCAGATCGAAGTCACAAATTTTTCTCCCTACTAAAAAAGAAGAATGATTTCGCTTGGACCCTGGAATGCCAACAGGTATTGAAGGAACTAAAACAATATTTGTCGAGCCCATCACTACTTCACACTCCAAAAACAGACGAAAAACTTATCTTATACTTAGCAGTATTAGAAATCGCAGTAAGATGTGTCCTAGTTCGGGAAGAGCAAGGTACGCAATTTTTCATTTATTATATAAGTCGAACCTTAGGAGAAGCAGAAGCTAGATATCCGCACCTAGAAAAATTGGCACTTGCACTGATAAGCACCTCTAGAAAGTTACGACCGTACTTTCAATCT